ACAAGGAATAACTTAAGGTTTACTGAAAGGAAGAATTAATGTTCGGTTGCTTGACCAATCTTGCATGCCTGTATCTGGTAATCTGAGCAACAAATTTGATGATAGCCATATATAATATAAGAACCATTGTTAATTTTCTGTTCTTGTTTTGAGTTTCTGTATCATTTTTATTGTTCATGTTGCTCTGTCTTTGTTCTTGTTCTTGTTTTTGTTTTGTTTTCCTCTTTAAAATAAAAATAAATAAATCAGGAAAATTCTTTACTAGTGTGAGACATCGGAACCAGCAGAAGACACAGCAACAATGTTCTTGGTTTGAAGAAAAAGGTGCCCTACAGTGTGTGAAATAGCCACACGCCTAAAGGGCAGCAGGAAAGTTCCCGGGCAAAGCCGGCAGACACCTCCTAAGCTCCAGCAGTGTGGAGGTGGCAGGCACACGATGGACATGCTGAACTCCCAGGTCGCTGCTGGCCCTGCCCGCTCCACAGGGCCGATGCCGGGCTTTGTGCTGAGCACCGAGTCGCAGACAGAGGGCAGCAGCTCCGGCCAGCCTCGCATTACCTCTGGGACACCACGTGGAGAAAGCTTTCTGACAGGCAGAGCTTCCCACAGACTGTTTTCAGCACTCTCCGGGGTTTTTTCTTTTTACCTCTTCAGTGCTGGAGGTAGAACCCAGGGCCTCATACATCCTAGGCAAACTGCTTTTCAGCTGTCCTCCAACCCCTCTCTCCACATTTTTAACAGAGTGAACTCATGGCGTACACTAGAGGAGAACTCATTTTTCTGTGTTTTGGCTTCAGCTGTTGAAAGAATTCAAATCGGAACCTGAACCAACCTCCAAAATCATTTTATGTACCAGGAATATAATCAGTGGCTCATTGCCTGCCTGGCAAGTGCAAGGTCCTGAGTTCAGTTTCTTATACTCCAAAACAAAGCAATCTTATTTCCAGACAGTTTTAAAAAGTTCCCTAGGGGGCCGGGGAGATGGCTCAGTAGACTAAGCGCTTGCCTGACAAATGCAAGGGCCTGAGTTCAATCCCCAGTTCTGGGGGAAAAAAAAAAAAGTTCCCTACTCTGGCTACCAAGCACGCTTTCTAATTCAAAGACGGAGACACTTACTCTTTCATCTGCACACTGATTTTGTCAGACAACAAGACATAACCACCACAAATACTCCTGTCCTCCTTGCCAGGCACCAAGTACGTAATGCAAGAGAGGCAAGCAGCTCACCAGCATCAGTTGTGCGCTCCGGCCTGCCCGCATGGTTCAGTCCTGTGGGAGCACTCTGGGACAGTGCGCAGCTTCTTCTTGGGAGATGCAGAGACTCTGGAGAGGCGACACTCATCTTCCTGCGGCCCTGGGAGAGGAGGAGAGGCAGAGAGGGTGGGTGAAGCAAACAGACAGCAGGCTGTCCTGGCCACCGCTGAATTTCTCTAGTTCCACAGGCCCTTTCCTGTGGGCAGAGCCCACAGCCGAGATGCACGCGGCTCCAGGAGGTGGTGCACACACTTGTCTTCAGTGCCAGTGTGTGTGGTCAGATGCACGTTCGGCAGGCTGGTCTACAACTCTGTCACGTGAAGTGAAGACCACTGAGGTTCCAGACACCCAAGTATGCCCCAGCTAGTCAGCCACCCAGTTGGTTGTAGCTCAGGCATATTATTTGTGGCGTACCTAACTAAAATGCAACTTAGAAGGGCTGTAGCACCTCCTAGTCATGGAATGACACTAAGGCTAGGTGTGTGGTGCACACCTGTAGCCCCAACATTCAGAAGACTGGCACAGGAAGATCACTGTGAATTCAGTGCCAGCTTGTGCTACATAAGTGAGTTCAAGGCCAGCCTGCACCACATCGCAAGACCCTGTCCCAAATAACGAGAAAGAAAAAAACAAGAGAGAGAAAAAGGGCCACCACTCATCCAACAGTTAAGATGACTTGTGTTGCTCGTGGTCTTGGGAAAAGAAGGGTTGTTGTTCTTTTCTTTATCTTCTCATGGTCCAGAGATAAGTTTGACTTCTTTAATTTCTTTTTCTATTTTATAATAGGATTATATTGACTTAAAAATTGTGGTATAGGGACTGGGCATGGTAGTGTACACCTGTAATCCCAGCACTTGGGAGGCTGAAAACAGGAGGATTGCTACGAGTCCTATCTGTATAATGAGACCCTGTAGACCCTGTACTAACTATATTAAAAAAGAATTGTGGTATGTATTCATACAAAAGCTTGTTATCTTTTTACTTTTGTATTCGCATTATTATTGTTAATTTTTTTATTTTTAGGGAAGGGTTGACAGGATGTTCAGAGTCTTACTACTAGATCAGACCCACCTGTTTACAGCCTCCCAAGAACTGGGATTACAGGCGTGCGCCACCACTCCCAGTCTCAATTGCTGTCTCAGTGTGTCCGGGGGTGCAGGGCCAGCATGGCAGGCCCGGAGATTGAGTTCTCGGACGCTGTGCCTGCTTGCAGGCACTTTAATCCGCTGAGCTTTTTGGCTGGTCCTGTTCTTCACATTATTAAGCAAACAGTGCTTAGAAAATTATTTTAGTAATTGCTAGAAACAAAAATATGTAAAGAAAGCTTATGATGGCCTAGTATACTCCACTTCATCTGCTCCACTTGAATGCAACTAAAAATACTGGACAAACTGAATAGGCCGGCTACCGGAGGACTGAAGATGAACAGGAGCAGGTGGGCGGGAGCTGACCCTGATCCGGTCGTGTCTCCTGTTTTGTTCTTCCGTGGCAACTCCTACCTGAACACAGCAGCTTGAAAGCGGTCATGGCCAAAACCAATACTAAACTAAAAAGTGTAATAAGTGAAATAAAACATTCACTGGCAGAATTCGATTATGATAAAGCTTCCTAAAGAAGCCTTTCTGCTCTGAAGAGGGAAAAGTATCCCAGGGACAGAGGGGGATGGAGAAAATATTGGGGATTTTGATATTGCTTTCTCCCATTCCAGCCCTTGAGCAGTGTTGGCCAAGCAGGTACTTAAAACCCCGAGGGCGAAGAATTCTCTCTGAGCAGAGTAACTGAGGTCCAAAGGTGTTGGGGAGAAACCTCTTTACTTTTCTCTGTTCTCCTGCCATTTGGCTCTAGAGGCAGACAAACTGCAAGAAGTGTGTGGCAAAGTGGGAGTAACAATGCTTAAGCTTTCCAGGCAAGAGACGAGGGAGACCCGGAGGTGTCTGGAAGAGTACAGAGTGTGTGCTTAGGAAAATGCTCCTACGGGTCCTGTGTGAGAGCTTGGCCTCACACGTGCGCACGCACAGGTGGAGCTGACTGTAGCGAGAAGCCTGCCGCCCTCGAGCCGCTCCTCGGCTGGCCCCGGGTCCGTATTGCCCAGTGTCACTGCACAGCTGAAATCCAAACAGACCTAAGAAACAGTCCCACAAGACCAGCAGAACTTGTAGCCTGAACTGAACTGGGTTAATTGCTGAAAAACTTGATTAATTATTCTCAAAGGAAGGAAACAAGGCTTAAAAATCTCTTAACATGATATTCGGAATGTCTAAGATACAATCTGAAATTACTTATTATGGAAAGAGCTGTGGCATCTCAATCTGCAAGGAAAAAGATGAAGTAGGCTGACAGCAAGACGACACTGCCGCTGGGGTTGTCATGCAGAAACTACAAAGCGGGACATGTTTAACTGTGGGCTAAGAAGGAAAGGCAACACTCTTGAAGTGAATGGAAAGTGAGAACAGACAAACAGGTACAAAAAAGTGTGGAACGGAAATACTGAACTAAAAAGTGTAATAAGTAAAATAAAAATTCACTGGCAGAGGGGCTGGTGAGATGGCTCAGTGTTCTAAAGCACCTACTTGGAACAAGCTTGGCAAAGCACAGGGACCGCGGTTCAATCCCCCAGCACCACATGCCAGCCAGCCCTGCCCCCTGGTGGGCTG